CTGCCAGAAATGTCAAGCAGGAATGTTGTCATTTTTATTTTTAACTCACCTCCATTTTAGGAAAGATTACTTCATTCCAAATTTGCAGACTACACTCACTTGGAAAAATTTGTGAAATTCAGGAATCTCAGCAGAGTCCGAAAGAAGCTCCATAATGGGAATAGCTCGAACTGCGTTGTAATGCATTCGAGACAGCGCTTCTGTCAGTACCAGCGCCATACCAGCCATAGCAGACGGTGCCAGTTGTATTGCCAGATCGCAGGCAATAACAGCCTGAGTAAAAGGTGTGCGAGAGCATGGACTCATTAATAATGAGAATAATGTAACCTTAGTCAAAACAAGGTAAAAACTTCTGAAAATTCTAATTTACGCTCACCTCCATGCTCTCTTGTGATACACATTCTACCAAAATTTTGCAGAGTTCGGTATTTCTAAGCTCTTGACGACATGGGTAATTAAGCTGGAATAACAATCTCAGCTGATTATATAGCTACAAGATACTAACCAGTGTACATAATATAGGTGGAAGGAACTTGGCTATTTGTCCTTTCAGCTGATTCTCGTCCACCTGTCCTCTCTGAGGAATAGCGTCATCAAAATACTGCGATATATCACCACGTTCAGCCCTCTGATAGATGAAAATTAGCGCTTGAGTCAATTCTTCTACCTGAAATTAATGTATCTTGAAAAACTCAAGGCGATGGAATTTCAAAGTAACCTGCCTGTTCATCTGTTGCAGTTCTCACAAACGCTATGTGTTCTAGTACTCGTCGCAGTTGTTGAAGTATCGCACGCAGTACTGGCCACCTATAATCAAGAATTCCCAGCACTTTGAAGATCGACTAGCGCTGCTTACCAGGTATCCTGCTTAGCTGCCATAGTCACTATGGAACAGATAGGTGCCCATGAAAATCCAGAAGCTTCTTCATCAGAGTTCGTTGTGTTTGATCGCGTTATGTACACATTAACGCGAGGCCAGTCTTCGCCGAGTCCATGATAAGCTTAATAAGGAAATACAAACGAGATTTTATTTATGAACAAAACTCAGCAGTGCTTACTCAGGCGATTGGTTATAGGACAGCAGTGGATTGAAAGTAGAGATGAGAACACACGAAGGCGTACATCCGCTCCTTGCTCACCTGTCCAGCCAGCAGAGTATTGAGCTTGAAGATGCTCCACCAAGATACCTGAAGAAGCTACCGAAATAGACAGTTTTTAACAAATTTCCAAAGAACTTGCCTACAATGATGCTTAATGTATTCAAATTCAATATTGGCCATCGCTCCGACAACAATTCACCCATACTCTGCGCAACAACCTCAAGATTGTCAAAGCTCAAGGCTAAAACAAAGCATTAGAACATCTCTTAACTAAAAAAAA